TCTCCCATTGCCTGCTCCTGCCCTATCTCATTACTGACACATGACAGAACCCATCCCCCGCGTGGGCACCCTGGAAGCGCAGCCCCGGGGCCCACTCCAAGGGGAGCTGGTGGGCGAGTACCCCAGCCCCGTGCTCCTCCCCGGCGGGTCACCCCCAAGGTTGCCCCAGGGCCTGCTAGAGCCGGCCCGCGTCACCCCCGGTGCTAACTTGCTCGTCCACACACCCTATTCCTGCGCTCCTGAAGTCGCCCCCCCCCGAAGCTGCCAGAGGGGTGGGGACATTCGGCCGGGATCTGTGTCCCTCTCGTGAGCAGCTGTGCGCGTGGCTTTGCAGGTAGCGCCCGGCGGGCGGGCGGGCGCTCGCTAACTGCTGAGTGTGGCCGAGGAGCTTGCCCAGGCCTTGCCCGAGCTCCAGGCTGAAGACAGGCCCCTGGGTGGGCCTGACGTCTCAGCAGAGAGGCGGGGTCCCCGCTCGGCCACCCCACGCCCCGGCCCGCGCCAGGCGGCCCGCCCTGCCCACCTGTTCAGCTTTCAGGGTGAGTTCGATAAAGATCTGCTGTAGCTTCTCATTGACGAAGTTGATGCAGAACTGCTCGAAGCCATTTTTCTGCCGACGGAGGGAGCGGAGGCGTTCCGTGGGGGCTGGCGCTGGGCCCTAGCGCCGCTGGCCGCCCCGGGGTGCAGAGAGGACAGGGTGCGGGCAGGGCCGGGGCTGTACCTGGAAGATCTCGAAGCCGTAGATGTCGAGTACGCCGATGCTGTACTCGTCCTGAGGCTTCTGCATGGCGCGGTTGATGGCCTGGGGGGCGGGCGGGGTGAGCACCCACCGCCGGGCTCGCCCCGGGCAGCCTCTATCCCTCGCTTCTCTCCTACCCGCCCCAGGCCGGGTGTCCCCCCCCAACCAGCCACCCCGTGAGACCGGGGCGCCGCTGCATCTCAGTTCCTGCCCTTTGGCCAGATAGAGGCCACCTGCACCTCCACCTTCTCGCCTTTAGAATGGGCCGATAAGAGCCACCGCCTCGCAGGGACGCTTCTCGTGAAATAGCGCCCCGGACGCTCTGCCCTGGGCCTGCTCACCTCCACCAGGAAGTCGAAAAGGCGGGCGTAGAGCCCCTTGGCCAGGGCGTCTCGGGTGTAGGCCGCCTGCTCCACGTTGAGGGTCACGTCGATGGACTCGCTGCGGCCGCCCCAGCGGCTGTCCATCTTGCGGCTGGTCAGCTTTTCCTGCAGCCGCCCGCTGTCAATGCCCAGCAGGTAAGCCGGGAAAGCCAGGACTGCGGCGGGGGCACAGAGGGTGGTGGTTGGGCTCTTGGGCCTGTGGGGCGCTCCCCCCCTCTCCCTTGTCCGCTGGGGCCCAAACTGGGGGGAGACTCCGCACGGGCGCGGGCCCCCCGCGCCCCACTCACGGTCCACACTCTCCACCCGGGCATAGTTGCCCTCCTCGCAGAAGCTGATGTTGCCCAGGTGCAAGATCCCTGCCACGAGCTGCAGGACCAGCTGCTGGACGTTGGGCGGGATCCCGATGACCTGCATGGCGTTCTGTGGGTGCAGGGGAGTCACTGGTCCGCGCCCCCGGCACCTCCGGCCTCGGCACAGAGGCAGGCGAGGGCCTGGGGCGGCCCCCGGCTCTTCCACTTGCTGGCCGTGTGCGAACTTGGACAGCCCCGCCGTCCAGGGACCGTGGCCGTCCAGGACCGTGGCCGTCCGGGGACCGTGGGTGTCCAGGGACCGTGGCCGTCCGGGGCCGGGGCCATCCGGGGACCATGGCCGTCCAGGACCGTGGCCGTCCGGGGACCGTGGGTGTCCAGGGACCGTGGCCGTCCGGGGCCGGGGCCGTCCGGGGACCGTGGGTGTCCAGGGACCGTGGCCGTCCGGGGACCGTGGCCATCCGGGGCCGTGGCCGTCCGGGGCCGTGGCCGTCTGGGACCGTGGCGGGCGGCGGGCGATGGGCGGCGGGCGATGGGCGGCGCTCACCAGAGTCTCCTGGAAGTCGCTGCTGTCATCGGTGCCGTCCACCTTGTAGGTGTCCGACTGGTTGAGGTAGTAATAGTAGTCGGGGGTCATGAGACCCAGGTTCTGCCGCTGCTCCTGGGATGCCCCTTCCAGCAGCTGGGGGGACACGTGCACCTGACGCGGGCTGCCCCGCCCCTCCGGGGACCCTCCGCCCGCCCCATGTCACCCCTTCCTCGAACCTGGTAGTATATGTGGAAGTTCCTCTCGTTTTCGTTCTGCATGACCACACGGGATTTCTCCAACAAGAAGTTGGAGATCTTGCCCCCGTCCGGCTCCCCGCCACGGCTGAACTGGATCTCAAAGTACTTGCCCTAAACCCGAGAGAGCCGTCAGCGCCCGGCCCCGAGGGGCAAGCTGGGGGATCGGGCTTCCAGTCCCCTGGGGCCGTGTGCCGTGCTCTCCTGCTGGCGGCCCTTTGCCTAAGCTTGGTTCCCCCTGCTCCTCACCCCAGCCGGTCCGGCCCGGGATCTATCACGTCCCACCGGCCAGTTCCGCGGGTTCCTACGGCACAGAGGCCTCGGTGTCTGGGTCTCTGGGATGCACGGGTCCGGCGACCCTGGCTGGACGTCGCCCCTGAGCCTGCCCTGCTCTGTGACACCTCCTGGACCCTGCCCAGGGGCAGAGGGCAGCCCCGCCCCTCCTCCCCTCTGCCGCCTGCACCCAGTCACAGCGCAAACATGCCTGTCGTGCGGGACGTGGCTTACTCTTAGAACAGCATTGCATGAAATTAGAGGTCACGGGATGTTGCCAAGGTCACCCATGTTTTTGTGTCTGTCAATAGCTTGCAAATAAACACTGTGTAGCTGTACGTGAATGAAGTCTGAGGACAGCGGGAGCAAGTGCAGTGTGGAACGGCCAGAGGCGTGGCTGCTTCTGGGGCGGGTGGGCATTCAGCCTGGCTAGGAAGCGGTGGGGGGGCTCTCTGGAGCCTTTCGAGGGGGTGGTGTATCTGCTGACTGGGGTGTGCGTGCGTCCAGCACAGCAAACGCCCTGCGCTAGCCTTACGGTTTCGCTGAGCGCAAGCTTCACTCGACGAGAAACAGACAAGGCCGGTAAGTTTGTACTGAACTATAATTAGTGACCTCCGTGGAGGACTGGGGGGAGGTCTGGGGCAGCCGCGGAGCGCAGGCTGGCAAGGGAAAATACGGAGGGCCGGAAGGATGGACAATAAGAGAATCTAGAAAAAGGCTGTGGTGGGCGGACACGGGCGGGGGTGGGGGCAGCTCCCCGTCTTTTGATGTCTCCGTGCAGTTGAGAGCTTTCGTAGTCAACTGCTAGGGACGCCGAGACTATTACTGTAGGTGAAAGTAAATGTAATTTATGATGTTCAGGGGAGAAATCTTACGGCACTCAGCTCTCGGGCTGTGGCCGCACGCCGGCCCGTGCGGGTCTGTGAGGGGTGACGGTCACCCCACTGGTGGTGAGCGAGCGGCCTGTTCCCCAGGCGCAGGGGCCGCCATCTCCTCCTGTCCCGCCAGCCCTTGGCGCACAGGCGGCGAAACTGCGTCTCCTGTGACTGGGGCCAGGCTCAGCCTGCTGCAGCCGGGGAGCGGCTCAGAGTGGCACAAGACGAGGGGCCTCCGCGGTTCTGGGGGGCTTGTTCCCACATGGACCGCAAGCAGGAAGTGCGTGTCCCACCCCGGCGCTGGGGTGTGTGTGTTGTATTCTCGTGTTTGTGTCTGTGTGGGCTGTGGGGGTGGGGGTGTAGTCCGACGTGCATGGTGTGAGTGGGTGTGTATGGTGTGGTATGTTGTGCATATAGTGTGTATGTTGCCGCTGTGTGTGATGTGTGTAGCGTGTGCGTGCATGACGTGTTCCATGTGTGTGGCATGTGTATGGGTGTGTGTGCATGGGGTGTGCGTGTTGTGAGAGTTGTGCATGCATGGTGTGTACATAGTCGGTGTGGATTGTGTATAGTGCGTGTGGCGGGTGCGTGTGGCGTGTGCTGTGTGTGTTGTGTGTGCGCGTGCTGTGTGTGGCGCACAGTGCGTGTGGCGGGTGTGTGGTGCGTGCTGTGTGTGTTGTGTGCGCGCGTGCTGTGTGTGGTGCACAGTGCGTGTGGCGGGTGTGTGGTGCGTGCTGTGTGTGTGGCGTGCAGGTGCGCGGGGCTGTGCGCAGGCGAGGCGCTCGGCGCAGCGCGCTGCGGGACTCACGAAGCGGCTGGAGTTGTTGTTGCGCACGGTCTTGGCGTTGCCGAAGGCCTCCAGCAGCGGGTTGGACTGCAGGATGACGTCCTTGACGTTCTGGGCAGCGGCGGGGGAGAGGTCAGGCCAAGCGGGCGCTGGCCCTGCCCCCGCCCTGCCGCCCGCCGCGCGCTCGCCTCACCTGGACCTTCTCACCGCCTCCGGACACCTTGGAGATGTAGCCCATGATGTATTTGGCGGCCACCGTCTTCCCGGCCCCGCTCTCTCCGCTGTGGGGGGTCAGCCGTCAGGGTGGGCCGCGTGCCCGCCCGGTGCCTGACCACGGCCCCCGCGCGGCCCTGCAGGCCGGGACGACAGCGGACTCGGCAGATGGGGCCCAGGGGACGGAAGCTGCGGGCGGGCCGAGCCGCGGCCGCCTCACCTGATGATGACGCACTGGTTCTCACAGTCGATGAGCATGTTCCGGTACATGTTATCCGTGAGCGCGTAG